TCCCTCAAACTATTTAGAAGCTGACTGACCATTTTGTTGATATTGCCCTAGTCTCCGTGATTTTTCTCTTGGATTTACTGATTGTGTGGTATTAATTTCCATATCTGATCCACCTTCAATCCACAGAGAAATGGATTTTATCAGGCTTTCAATCCTGAGTCAAGAAATCAGGACGGGGCAATGTTCCGTTCTAGTATACATAAGGTCACTGTGAGTTGGAGCCAACTCAACAGGAACTAACAGCACTAACGTGTATGAAACGCAAACCTATGTATAATTATGCCTTTTGAACATCTGACCAACCTTAAGAGTACTCACTGTATTAATTTCTAATATACTTGTGAATAATAAATCCACATTTCAAAAAAAATCCTACAACTCTCCTATTATTTCACAAAGGAGTTCTCCACATCCCGTATTCAGACATGGGTGGAACCTGACTATATCTTTAGAGATATTCACAGAATAAGCATGGGGCATACCATCTACCCCAGTCACTTGAACTGATCAAAAGCAAGACATCTTAACTGTAAGATTTCAAAGTAGTCCTGGCCAGGGGAGAAAATACTGTCCAGATAAAGCTAGCAAAGGCACCAATAAAATATATATACAAAGAAAAAGTGAGGAAAGAGGGGAACCAGAGAAGGTGGGGAAAGACGTCCACAGCACAAAGAACATGTCTGGCTCAGAGCAAGGAAGAACGACCCTCAAGGAGCCGAGAGGCCAGAACAGCCAGCCCGCACTCCTTGGAGGCCTCACTCTCTTCCCTCATAGCATTTGGGCAGGACACAGAAGAAGGCTGTGCTCATTAGCGGGGCACCCTGGGGATCACAGAAATGAATGCCAGACAGTCCCACTGATAAGACATACAACCTGAAACACAATGACAGTGGAAGGCAAGGGTAAGTACTTGGCAGTAACGGCAGCTGAAATAGGGGCTTGTTGCTTCTTTCAAAACTGAGGTACAAAGTCACAAGCTTTGAGAGAAAAAAGGATAATTGGAAGTTGGTGGTAAAAATGCAATCTAGCCATTAATTTAAAAATTAAGCTGTGTTCTAAAAATCTGGATTAAAAGAATATATACATATATAAAACTTGCAAGTTGAACATATATCAAAACCAAATAATTCAATACAAACTCCTTTTACTTTCGTGCCAAAATCTGAGCTCATAGCTCTGGATAAATAATAAGCTATAGTTCATTGACCTGTTTGCGTATTAATGAGCTCATCAAATTTTTTTTCAACAATCACAGACATTGCTGTGCTTGGAAAATGGTAAGCAGAAATTCAGATCGACATTAACATTTCTCTGCTAGTTTAAGTGTACATAAGGCATCATTTTGTAAATTAAAATGTCAGTTGGATTTATTTTGAGATTACTTGGAGGCATTCAATTTTGCATTTCATAGACTTTTAACATCCCTTTGTGTCTGCATATAAAACACTTTTTATCTGTGTCAAAAATCTTGAAATCATTTGTAGGTATACTTTCTCTTTTATTGGCTATGTTAAGAATATTTACCGGTGGGAACTGTAAGAATTCCAAAAAATTTACTGTCTGGCCAAAAGTATCACATTTACGCATGATTTATTGATGAATAACCTGTGCAAGCTTAAGTAGCACTTCATCAATAAACGTTCCCTTAGCTGTTCTGGGGGCAGAAATAGTGCATCCCTTTTTGGCCTAATACTGCATGGACATCCTAAAAAGCTGCAAAACTCATGACAGTTATTTACTGATTAGACTATCGTAAGAAGCTCTCTTTGTCATGTCCACTGGGAGGATATTTTTGGGGATGTTCACTGCCTCACCCCGTGCGTGCCCCATCAAGCCCCAAGGGGGAAATTCTTTCTGCTCTTAGCACCAGGCGGAGGTATACTGGTTGGCAACCAGTGTCTCTCTACGTTACAATGGTAAAAGCCTTTCAACTCACTGTACTTCCCTCGTTTTACTGGTTGCTAGAAAGCTTAAAGCAAAAACTGAAGGCCACGTGTGCAAGTCAATAGAACTTCAGGCTACACATTTTCTATAACAACAACATGCAATGTAAGTAATAATTGCCAACAGTTATTGAGTACTCCGTACTGAGCATCTACGTGTGTCACATGTCACTTAGTTTTCATAACAATTCTAAGTTCGGAGAACGTTAACTTTCTGATCTTGACCAGTGAGGAAACCGAAGCTTAGAGGGCTTACGTGACTCTCCCAAGGCCACTGAATTGGTAAGTGGCAGAATCCTGACTTGGCCTAAATCCTTCCAACACCAGAGATCCTTTTTCTAACGACGCCCTCACTCGGCCGCCTGATTCACGTCATTCTTCTACACCTCTGCCTCTCTGTTTCCTTTCACTAATGAGATAAATGTAATGGGCCAGGTCTCTTTGGATAAACATCAGTGACTCCCAGTTCTTCTTCCGGAAGGCCACGTTCAAGCCCCAAAGACCCTGCCTGGCTCAAGCCACTCACATCTCAGAGTGGTATGTGTCAAAATTCTCCACTGCCAGTCCCCACCCTCCGCCCCATGCTTTTTAAGATTGACGGAAACGAGACTCACAACCAGCCCTGTGGTTCAGCAAAGGGGCAGAGGCACCAAGGTCTCCGGAGTCTGGCATTGCAGCTGTGCATGCCAGGCACTGGGTTCAGCTGTACAGTCTGTGCACTGCACAAAGACGCCGGTCCAAGGGACGCAGAGGAGTGTGAAATCCTGCCTGTGCTCCATACTACAGTTTCCAAATTCCTGATGGATATTAATCTCTGAGATTCAAGAATAAAAAATGGGAATTCCTAGGAATTCCAAAATTCTAAGTGATTCTGTATTTTTCATATTTACGTGTATTTTTAAATAATAATGAGTGACCATAACCACAAGCAGTGAATAATTTTCTGCGATGGAGACTGTCTGTAAAAATTTTTTAACAAGCCTATATAGTAAATGCACAGTTTATTATTTCTAGGAAGCAACAGATAATGACACAATTATATAGGTAGAAACCACCTCTATCAGATATAGGCATTTGATAACAAAAACATTAAAAGAGGGGAATATTAACACAAAATATATGTCAAACAAAAATCATTAAAAATTTAAAGATAATATTAAAACATATTTTATAGTATCATTCTTAAAATGGAATTTTAAAGTACACAAGGAATTAACTGTCCTATCAAATAGTCTTGATCTTTGTTCCATGACAAATATTCCAGATGTAGGAAAAAAAAAAGTTTAATTTTGCATTGACATTAGTCAAATCATTGAGAGACTTCCAAAAGCATTGCCAAACTGGCCATTAGGGTTTGCTTCCTTTCCTTTTTTAATGATAAAAATGTTGCATTTGCTTGTCCTGATTTTGATTTGGCCACTGAAATGGATACCGTTTTTGCTAATTTGGATTTTAGACGGGTTTCTGGTTTCATGTTGGAATGTTCCACTACATACACTCATATCTTCCTCTCTGCATTTCCTCTGTTAAATTGCTTACAAAGAGCAAGTTGTGGTTTATAACAAATATTCAAACACTGGAAAATGCCAGCACATATTACAGGGTATATTTAAATAACATAACATTTAGACCTCCAAACAAGCTTGATAAGACTACACAGGATCACAGGTCAGATTGCAAATTTAAGGACTTATTCTGCTCCCACTATAGGACTTGAAGGAGCCCTGGTGGCGCAGTGGTTAAGAGCTCAGCTGCTAACCAAAAGGTCGGCAGTTCAAGTCCGCCAGCTGCTCCTTGGAAACCCTATGGGGCAGTTTCTACTCTGTTCCTGTAGGGTCACTATGAGTCAGAATCGACTCAGTGGCAATGGGTTTGGTTTTTTTGGTGGTGGTGGTGGTTTAATAGGATTTGTATGAAGTATTCTATACATGTAAACATATTAATATTTATTTTGCAATAATGTCTCACCATTAGCGGCAGACAAAGCCACGGACACACGCTTAGAACCTGCAAAGAGCTACAAGCAAGACCGACTGTGAGCTCAGTGGCGAGCACTTCTCTCCTGCCTGGCTCCTAGGTCTGTCAGCATTTCCTGCTCTTGCTTTCCACGATTCCAGTGGATTCCTTCAAACCAGTAATGTCTCTATGTTATTAATCTTTAATCCTCAGAGGGGAATTATAACACTTTCCCCCATTATTTCCAATCCATTGACTAATTTGTCTCGGATCTGGGATTCAGAAAAGCACATAATTTTTTTGAGGGATTCTGGGAATTCCAGCTGAGGCTAGAATGGTCAGCCTACTCAGCTTGTTTTCCAATTAGTAAAATTAAAATATGGTATTTTTGTGACCTGCCACCATTTCATGATTTGCTGAACGGTGCAGCAGGAAGAGTGTGAATTTGTAAAGTCAGACGTATGCTAGGTTCTAGGCCGTGTCCCTTACGAGGCACGTCACGAAACTATCTGGTTACAGCTTGGGCTTCTACCTTCACATAAACACTGCTCGCATTTCTCTAACCTCTTTCATTCATATTTTAATGTCATTAATCGTAAAACAAGCTAAAACTATTAATACAGTAAATCTTTTTTACAAAAATTGTCAAGTCCAGTCTCACACTGCAAGTAGGCTGATAAGGCATGAGGGTCCAGGTATTCATCCAGAAAGGATCACTTAAAGCATTATCTTAGTCACATTTACTGCAGAATAGCATCAACTGTAATGCTTTGCTTCTGGTGGGAATTTCTATTGCCATGCTAGCATCAAGCTCAAGGGGCAGGGAGAGCAATGCTGCTGCAGTGGCCGCCGCTGCCAAACCCCTCTCTCCAACCAGGGGAGAGGGCTGGTATTGGGCAGCCTGGCTGTTCCATGAAGACTAACCTCGGTAACCCTAGGGTAATGAGACCTTCCCTTATGAACACTTTTTTTTATATGTAGTAACAGGGACGCTTACTACCCTTATTTGAAAGAAATATAAACTTGGAGGCAGAATATCCATTTTGGGGGAAGGATTTTAAAAATTAACATTGAAAATATAGCACAAAAGGTCTTTCCTACCTTTAAGTATTTCACCAGCTTCTGAATTTGCCAATATTCCGACGGCAAATCAGCATTTGCTTCCTGACGATGATCAGGTGGTTCTTCATCTTCCTCACTTTCTGAGGAACTCTCACTAAGAATTTCCTCAGGCTTATCAGCAGCCTTACTAAGAACAGCAACAATAAAAACACATGTAAACTATAATGGTAATATTTCAGCAACATGTGTACAAGCAACAGATAAGATACCAACACCTCCTGAATTCTACATCTCTGTTAGCATCTACATGAGGAGATAAGGAAGTCCATGTCTCTAGAGCAGGTGCGGTTCAGTATTATTGCCCTAAAACCAAAAACCAAACCCGCTGCCGCCGACTCATAGCAACCCTACAGGACAGAGTAGAACTGCCCTGTATAGTTTCCAAGGAGTGGCTGGTGGATTTGAACTGCCAACCTTTTGGTTAGCAGCAAAACGCTTAACCACTGCACCACCAGGGCCCCATTATTGCCCTAGGTTATAAAGAAAAGAGTGAAATATGAAAAAAGGAATTAAGTAAATGCCCTAAGGCTGTGCTATACAATAAGGTAGCCACTAGCCATATGCAGCTGTTTACATTTACAGTTATTTATTTACTTAAATAATATTAAAAATTCAGTTCTTTAGACATAGCAGCCACATTTCAATTACTCAGTAGTCACATGTGGCTAGTGGCTACCATACTGGACAGTGCAGACAGGGACCATTTTCATTACTGCAGAAAGTTCTATTGCGCAGTGCTGTAAACACCTAAAATGAAGTCTTCCTTACCAAAGACAGTGAATAGTCAGCACCTTCCTCTTCATGATGCCTCAGCTAAAGTATTTGGAAGGGCACAAGACATCAGACAACATCAATGACCTAAACCAGCCTCAGGAACAAGGAGTTAACCCCAACTCCTAGAGACATTAGCATGTTAAATGCTGAGTTCCATAGATACACAGCACATTTGACAGGTGGAGGCACAGACAACATTACCACAAGAACCTTGGGCACATCACTAGGGATGGTTACAGTCATGCTCCAATGTAGCACCTATATTGGCGTAATACCCCCCAGAGCTCCTTCCTGCATACTACTGCACCAGCTGGTGCCCACCTCCCCACCCTTGAATGCATGTTTTCCAGCTGTTAGCTCATCAAACCCACAATGATGTCTCAGGGACTACTCATCCATCACTCACATCTGAGGAGGTAGGTAACCCGAGATATTTATCTCAATATTGCTTCCCACATCTCCTTGAATTTACACGACAGAAATAAGCTCTCAATGGTCCTGTAGTGAAGTAGGACTTGAGGCAAAGAAGATCTGTAAGAGAATCACTGCCCTCATGGAAGAGGTTCAATAAATGCAAGGAAAGGGAGAGAGGAAGCTTTCAGTGTACAGGCTGAGGATATACGAAAATCATTTCCCTATAATATGAGAGTGTCAGAGAAAAGGCGTCTATTAGAAGGAGGAGAAAAGTGGGAGGCTCATTTAGATGGAGGTAGTGCAGAGCATCATGGGGATGAGAATATTGGAAGAGACGGTCTCAGATGCATGCACACTTAGTGTGATACCCAGGGACAAGAGGAGCCTGTGGACCCGCCAGCCACCCCCTGGAGCAGCGTGTCCATTCCAGGTCCAAATACTTATAAACAACACACGTCTAAAAAATACACTAAACTGACTGAAAATGAAAATACAACTCATCAAAATTTGTTGTATGTAGCTAAAGCAGTACAGAGAGGGAAATACATTAGAAAAGAGGAAAAGTCTCAAATCAATAATCTAAGCTCACACCTAAATACACTAGAAAAGGAGCAAAATAAACCCAAAGCAAACAGAAGAAAGTAAATAATAAAGAGCAGAAATCAAAAAAACAAAAACACAATTTGAAAAATCAATGAAATAAAAAACTACTTCTTCAAAAGATCGATAAAATTGACAAACTTCTAGCAAGACTGACAAAGGAAAAAAGGAGAAGACACAAATTACCAATGTCAGGAATAAAATAGGGTACATCACTACAGATCCTGAAGACATCAAGGGTAATAAGGGAATACTATGAACAACTATACGTGCATTAATATGACCACTTAGGCGAAATGAACCAATTCCTTTAAAAGTACCAACTACCACATCTCACCCAATATGAAATAGATCATTTGAATAGTGCTACAACTATTAATGAAATTTAATTCATAATTTAAAAACTCCCAAAAAGAAATCTCCAGGCCCAGAGAGTTTCAGCGGAGAATTCCACCAAACATTTAAAGAACTAACACCAATTGTACACAATTTCTTCTAAAAAACAGAAGAGGAGGGAACAATTCCCACCTCATTGTATGAAGCCTGATATCAAAATGAGACAAAGACAGTACCAAAAAACAAACAAAAAACGACACAAAAAACCATCATGATTACAGATGTAAAAATTCTTAACAAAATATTAGCACCTAGAATTCAGCACCATGACCAAGTGAGGTTTATTCCAAGGACACGAGGCTGGTTGAGTATTTGAAATTCAATGTAATCTAACCAATATTAACAGGCTAAAGAAAAAAACTCACACAATCATATCAATCGATATTTAAAAAAAAGCATTTGACAAAATTCAATACCCATTCATGATAAAAATGCTCAGAAATGAGGAATAAAAGAAAACTTCCTCAACTTTATTAAGAATATGTACAAAACCTACAGCTAACATCATGCTTAATGGTGAAAGACTTAAGTGTATTCCCCCTTAGATTAAGAACAAGCAAGGATGCCCACTTTGACCACTGCTATTCAACATTGTACTGGAAGCTCTAACAAGCACAACAAGGCAAGAAAAGGAAATACAAGGCACACAGACCAAAAGGAAGGATTATAACTTTCCTTTTTTGCAGATAACATGATGATTTATGTAGAAAATTACAAGGAATATTAAAACAAATTCCAAGTACTAATAAATGGCATACAAAAATCAATTGTGTTTTTATATACTAGCAATGAACACACACAAACCAAAATTTAAAATACAATTCCATTTACAATTGCTCCATAAAAAAACAAAATACTTAGATGTAAATCTAACAAAACAGATACAGGATTTGTATGCTGAAAACTACAAAACACTCATGAAAAAAACCAAAGATGATCTAAATAAATGGAAAGACATACCATGTTCATGGTTTGGAAGACTCCATGTAGTAATCTCCAAGTTCATATACAGGTTTAATGTAATTTTTTTGTTGCTATAGGTAAGATTAATCTAAAATTTATGTGGAGAGTGAAATAAACTTGAATATTTTGGAAAATTTTTGGAAAAAAAAAGGATGACGTGAGAAGACTCACTCTACCAGATTTCAAGATTCATTATATACAGTAACCAAGATTTTGTCGGTATCACCAGAGGGCTAGACACAAAAATCAATGCAAGAGAATAGAGACTCTGGTAGTCTCACACAAGTACAGCCAACTGATTTTTGACAAAGGTGCAAAAGCAATTCAACAAATGATTCTGGAGCATTTGGATATCTATAGGCCAAAAAAAAAAAAATGAACCTTGACATAAGTCTCATACTTTATTTTAAAAATAACTCAAAATAGATCATAATCTTAAATGAAAAACTATAAAAATTTTTCATAAAAAAGAAAGGAGATCGTCTTCAGGACCTAGGATTTGGTAAAGAGTTCTTAGATATGACACCAAAAACACAATCCATAAAAGAAAAAAAATCAACAAATTAGACTTCATTAAAATAAAAACTTTTGTTCTGTGAAAGATCTTGTTAAAAGAATGAAAAGACAAGTTACAGACTTGGAGAAAATATCTGCAAACTACATATCAGACAAGGGTCCAGAATCCAGAATACACAAAGAACTCTCAAAACTCAACATTTACAAAAATAATCTAATTAGAAAATGGGCAAAACGCATGAAGAAACATTTCACCAAGAGAATACACAAATGGCAATAAGCAGATGAAAAGATGTCGAACATCACCGGCCATGAGAGAAGTGCTAAGACCATGATGAGATATCACCACACGCCATTTTGTTACTGTTGTTGTTGTATGCCGTTGAGCCAATTCCAACTCATAGTGACCCTACAGGACAGAGCAGAACTGCCCCGCAGGGGTTCCAAGGGGCAGCTGGTGGATTTGAAACACCAACCTTTTGGTTAGCAGACTGAGCTCTTAACCACTGCGCCACCAGGGCTCCATACACCATTTAGCATTTCTAAAATAAAAAACAGTGGCAATACCAAACACGGTCAAAGGTGAAAACCTGAATCTCCTGTACATCACTAGTGGGAATGTGAAACGATACAGCTACTCTGGAAAACAGGTTGGACGCTTCCTAAAAACTAAACGCACACTTACCGTATGTGTCAGCAACTGGACATTTATCCAAGAGAAATGAAAACTTACATCCACACAAAAACCTGTATACAATTTTTCATAACAGTTTGCTTTGTGATAGCCCCAAACCAGAAACATCTAAAATTTCCCTCAATAGCTGAATGGTTAACTCAACTGTGGTGCATCCATACCATGGAATACTAGTCATCAATAAAAAGGAACAAACTAAAATACATTCAACAACTTGGATAAGATCTCAAGGTCATTATGCTGAGTGAGAAAAGACAATCTGTATGATTCTGTTTACCTAACATTCTCAAAATGACAAAACTGTAGAAATGGAAAACAGATTAGTGGTTGTCAGAGATTAGGGATGGTGGAGGGGAGGAAGGTGGGTGTGATTATAGAGGAGTAACATGAGGAAGATCTCCGTGGTGAAGAAACTGTATCTTGATTGCCATGGTGGTTACATACATTTACACACGTGATAACAACATAGCCCTACACATACACATCGTGCCAATGTCAATATCCTGATTTTGACAGTGTACTATGGTTATGTGAGATGCAATCATTGGGGGAAGCTTGGTGAAGGGTACACGGAGCCTCTCCAGGCTGTGGTTGCAACATCCTGTGAAGGTACAGCTATTTCAAAATAAAAAGGTTAAAAGAAATTAACTGTCAAACAAATTTAATACTTTAATATGCATGTCTAGGGGAGCATCTTAAAGTCTGGCTTTTCTCCTGGTGGTGTTGTCAACTGCCATCACGTCTGCCCGACTCATGGCAAGCCCACGCAGGACAGAAGGAAACAGCGCCTGGCCCTGCACCACCCCCGTGGCTGGCGATGTACCGGACTGCCGTCGTCCACAGGGTCTTCAGTGGGTGGTTTTTGGAAGCAGGTTTTTCTTCCCAATCTGTCTTAGTCTGGAAGCTCTGCTGAAATCTGTTCAGCATCATAGCAACACGCACGCCTCCACTGACAGAGAGACGGTGGTTCTGCCTGAGGTGCGTGGCCAGGAATCGAACCTGGGTCTCCCACAGGGAACCACCAACAAATCTTTATAACGTGAAATTCCTGACATTTCCTCCCACTACCCCTCTGAAACTCTCAAATAAAGGGTTTTCCCCAAATACGTTGCTTTTATCATCATACTGAAAATCAGGTAAGAAGTCTATCAGTTGACCTCACATTAAGAGTTCATGTTTTAATTAGGAATAAAATATCATTTTAGAATAGCCACAGCCATCAGTGATCAGCAAAGTCAGGCTCAGACAGATGCCAAACTCTGCAAAAAATCATTTAAGAGCCCAGTTTTCCTAACAGTTCACTGCTCTTTGCATTAAAAACATTCCTTTTCATAGTTAAAACACCCTTACCCATGGCTGTTGAGTCGATTCCGATTCATAGTGACCCTACAGAACAGAGTAGAACTGCCCCATAGAGTTCCCAAGACTGTTATTCTTTATGGAGGCAGACTGCCACGTCTTCCTCCCGCGGAGCAGCTGGTGGGTTCGAACTCCTGACCTTTTGGTTAGCAGCCAAGCGCTTAACCACTGCACCACCAGGGCTCCTAAAAGTTAACTAATACCAGTAAATTCCTGTATTTCAAGTAACTCTGAATTAGGATACTTTGTAAATATGTTTAAAGAAATCCAGTATCATTTCTTTTTTATTAACATTCCTAATAACTTGGGACGCTAATGTAATCATTAAGAAGACTTTAATTAGCAGGCTAACTGGTCCACTGACCAATGGTGGCTTTAAAGAACTGGTTATATTGACAGAAACATACCGAGCTGACTGCATTCTCCCACTCACCACAGACGATCTTCCCTTTTCAATTCTTGCATGTTTCTCCTCTTGGGTGTCTCTTCCTGAACTTCTGTGGCTAAAAAATATTAGTTCGATTCATTACTGTGATGGATTGAATTGTGTCCCCCAAAAGATATGTTCGAGTCCTAATCTGTACCTGTGACCTTGTTTGGAAACAGGGTTTTGCTGTTGTTGTTGTCAGTTACATTAAATGAGGTCAGACCAGAGCAGGGCGGGTCATAATCCTAACAACTGCTGTGTGATGTCTTATTAAAGGGGACAGCAGACATGGAACCAGAGTCACACACAGGGAGAAGACAACATGTAGGATCCGTATCCATGCCAGAAGCTGAAAAAGACAAGGAAGGATTGTCCCCTAGAGCAGACAGAGGAGACACCCCTGTGATGCCCGAAATCCAGAACGGTGAGGCTGTTCCTTTAAAGCCACTCACTTTGTTGTCGTTTGTTACGGACGCTAAGACCACTACTTTATGCTGACGACTGTGAAATGAGAGATGAAAAGTATACAAATATTTCATCATTTTCATGTACCAAATGATGTTTGCCTGACACAGAGAACGACCGAGTTAGAAATTTAATTAAAACGAACCAGTTAGGTTTTAGTTATGGACAGTAGAATTTTAAAAGCTTTAAGCACTCTTAACATATAAAGCGACCTCTTTAGGTTGGGTCTGGGATCTCCCTGTTGGATGGTTTTGCCTTGTAGGTTCAATTGTTCCTATATGGTTTTTCTAGATAAGTAGTTTCCAGCTCTCTCACAAAAAACTGGTACAAATGGGAGCCTTGCACTGGCACGTACCACTAGCGCGAGAACCCAACTTCCAGCCAGTGACTATTTCGTCCAAGTGAATCACTCCTCAGAGCAACCACAGGCTGTGGGCGGACAGTGTCTCTTCCTCTGGAACGAATACGGCAGTCCCAGTTCCCCCTGTCACAGTCTGAGACTTCAACCTCCTCTCCTACTCTATGAGCTCCACCTCATCTCTGACACGCAGAGATTCCCCTTTTGCACTTTAAGCATAGCAATGCATTCAACATACTCAGGAAATATTTTGTTCAGTACTTCTTCACGCTGGGAACAGGTCTTCACAGGCTGCCATTGTTTCTGAGTCCTTCGCCCTGTGCCTTCTGCTCCTTCTCTAGGGGCTTAAACCAGTTGCCATTGAGCCGAATCCAACTCATGGTGACCCCATGTGTTTCAGAGTAGAACTGTGCTCCATATGGTTTTCACTGACTGATATTTTGAAAGTAGATTACCAGGTCCTTCTTCCTAGGTACCTCTAGGTGCAATCGAACCTCCAACCTTTCAGTTAGCTGCCAAACGGTATTAACCATTTACACCATCGAGGGCCTTCTCGAGGTGCCTGTGACCCTAGATTAGAATTGCCTGTTATCTGCCTACCAAACATTACAGCAGGACTTGTATCTGGTTCTCTAGGTATTCCCAAGCTTAACACAGAATCCAACAGCACATAATGGGTTCTCATTAAATACTTGTCAAATAAATCCATAATTCAAAAAAAAAAAAAAAAGCACATGGAAAAAGCAGTATTTTAAAAGTCGCACGCTAGTTACCAGAGTTGCCCATACATTTTGTTATTTTCAGACTCACACTTTCAAATAGTGTCACAAAGGTCAAACACCCCAAAATCGATGAGGATGAGAGGAGCAAGAGTCTGGCCCATTTCCAAAGGATTCCTTCCGACAGATCTTTGGGTTTGCTTCCAACATTGAATCACCCTGTGGTTCTCAAAATCCACAGAACCAGCCAGAAGTCAGTGCTCGACCAAATGGCGTGACAACACGTTGTAGTCAGGTGCTGCAGAGTTGGTTCCGACTCATAGCAACCCTATGTACAACAGAATGAAACACTGCCCGGTCCTGCACCATTCTCATAATTGTTGTGATGTTTGAGCCCACTGTTGCAGCCACTGTGTCAATCTATCTCCTTCAGGGTCTTTCTCTTTTTTCCTGACCCTCTACTTTAACAAGCATGATGTCTTTTTCCAGGAACTGATCCATCCTGATAACATGGCCAAAGTACATGAGATGAAGTCTCACCATCCCCACCTTCTAAGGAGTATACTGGCTGTACCTCTTCCAAGGCAGATTTGTTTGTTCTTCTGGCAGTCCATGGTATAGTCAACATTCTCTGCCAACACAATAATACAAAGGCATCAATTCTTCTTCGGTCTTCCTTATTCATCTTCCCGCTTTAGCATACATATGAGGCAACTGAAAATTCCATGACTTGGGTCAGGCACACCTTAGTCCTCAAAGTGACATTTTTGCTTTTTAACACATTAAGGAGGTCTTTTGCAGCAGATTTGCCCAATCCAATACATCATTTGATTTCTTGACTGCTGCTTCTGTGGGCTCTGATTATGAATCCAAGTAAAATGAAATCCTTGACAACTTCAATATTTTCTCCATTTATCACAATGTTGCTTATTCAGTTCAGTTGTGAAGATTTTCACTTTCTTTATATTGAGGTATAATCTATACTGAAGGCTGTAGTCTTTGATTTTCATCAGTAAGTGCTTCAAGTCCTCTTCAGTTTCAGCAAGCAAACTTGTGTCATCTGCATATCGCAGGTTGTTAATGAGTCTTCCTCCAATCCTGATGACATATTCTTCTTCATATAGTCCAGCTTCTCGGAATATTTGCTCAGCTCACAGATTGAATAAGTATGGTGAAAGGATACAACCCTGACACACACCTTCCCTGATTTTAAACCATGCAGTATTCCTCTGTTCTGTTCGAACGACTGCCTCTCGGTCTATGGACAGGTTCCGCGTGAGCATAATCAAGTGCTCTAGAACTCTCATTCTTCACAATGTTATCCATAATTTGTTATGATCCACAGTCAAATACCTTTGCATAGTCAATAAAATACAGGTAAACATCTTTCTAGTATTCTCTGCTTTCAGCCAAGATGTGTCTGACATCAGCAATGATATCCCCCATTCCATGTCCTCTTCTGAATCCAGCTTGACTTTCTGGCAGTTCCCTGTCAATGTACTGCTGCAATCATTTTCGAACTATCTTCAGCAAAATTGTACTTGAGTGTGATATTAATTGTTTGATAATTTCTGTATTCTGCGAGCTCACCTTTCTCTGAAATGGGCACAAGTATGGTTCTCTTCCAGTCAGTTGGCCAGGTAGCTGTCTTCCAAATTTCTTGGCATAGACGAGCGAGCGCTTCCAGTGTTGAAACATCTCTATTGGTATTCCATCATCTCCTGGAGCCTTGTTTGTTGACAATGCCTTCAGTGCATCTTGGACTTCTTTCTTCAGTCCATCGGTTCTTGATCACATGCTACCTCCTGAAATGGTAAACGTCAACCAGTTCTTTTTGTTACAGCAACTGTGTATTCCTTCCATCTTCTTTTGATGCTTCCTGCATCATTCAATATTTTGCCCATAGAATCCTTCAATATTGCAATTCAAGGTCTGAATTATTTCTTCAGTTCTTTCAGCTTAAGAAATGCTAAGCATGTTCTTCCTTTTTGGTTTTCTAACACCAGCTCTTTGCATATTTCATTATAATACTTTACTTTGTCTTCTTGAGGCTCTGAAATCTACTGTTCAGCTCTTTTAGCTTCCAGAGTAAGACAGACTAGGAAGAAGAACCTGATAATCTAATTCTAAAAAAACTGGCCAGTGAAAGCCTTATGAATAACAGTGGAACATTTTCTGATACAGTGCTGGAAGATGAGCCCCTTAGTTGGAAGGCACTCAAAATACGACTAGGGAAGAGCTACCTTCTCAAAGTAGAGTTAACCTTAATGACGTTGATGGAGTAAAATTTTTGGGACTTTCATTTGCTGATGTGGCATGACTCAAAATGAGAAAAAACAGCTGTAAACATTCATTAATAATTGAAAGTGGACAAAGTATGAATCAAGGAAAATTGGACACTGTCAAAAATGAAATGGACCTCTTGACAATAGATATCCTAGGCATTAGTGGGCTGAAATGGATTGATACTGGCCATTTTGAATCAGACAATCATATGGTCTACTATGGTGGGAATGACAAATTGAAGAGGAATGGCGTTGCATTCACTGTCAAAAACAACATTTCAAGATCTATCCTGAAGTACAACGCCGTCAGTGATAGGATAATATCCATACGCCCACAAAGACCAGTTAATACGACTATTATTCCATTTTAACCCCAACCACTAATGCCAAAGAGGAAGAAATTAAAGATTTTTACCAACTTCTGCGGTCTGAAATTGATCAAGCATGCAATCAAGATGCATTGATAAATACTGGTGACTGGAAGTAAAAGTTGGAAACAAAGAAGAAGGGTCAGTAGTTGGAAAATATGGCCTTGGTGACAGAAATGATGCCACAGATCGCATGATAGAATTTTGCAAGACCAACGACTTCTTCATTGCAAATACCTTTTTTTTAACCAACATAAACGTTACTATATATGTGAACCTCGCCAGATGGAATACACAGGAATCAAACTGACCACATCTGTGGAAAGAGACGATGGAGCACTTCAACATCATCAGTCAGAACAAGGCTGGGGGCTGACTGCAGAACAGACCATCAATTGCTCACATGCAAGTTCAAGTTCAAGCTGAAGAAAATCAGAGCAAGTCTACAGGAGCCAAAATAGGACCTTGAGTATATCCCACCTGAAAACAGAGACCGTCTCAAGAATAGATTTGACGTATTGAATACTAATGATTGAAGACCAGACGAGTTGTGAGCTGACATCAAGGACATCACACATGAAGAAAGCAAGAGGTCATTAAAAAGACAGGAAACAAAGAAAAGACCAAAATGGATGTCAGAAGAAACTCTGAAACTTGTTCTTGAGCGTAGATTGACAACATAGATTATGAAAAATAGGCTGAAACTAGTAAGCCTGTTTGATAAATTTTAAAAGTGCACTAGGTGCTTAAGATTGCCTAAGCATTTAAGTCGTTAATCTTTGGCCCTAACTCTTTGCTTTGGCATTTACTTATAAACCCACTGCCATCAAGTCGATTCTGACTCATAGCAACTCATGTATGGAAGTCCTAGAGAAAACTAATTTTGTGTATTTAACACATTTATCAAACCAGTGTCCACTTGACTTAAAACCCATTGCTGTTAAGTCAATTCTGACTCATAGCAATCCTATAGGACAGAGTAGAACTGCCTCATAGAGTTTACAAGGAGCACCCGGTGGATTCAAACCGTCAGTCTTTTGGTTAGCAGCCCAGCTCTTAATTGCTGCACCACCAGGGCTCCACTTTACTTAGGCCTATTCATATTTTTGAGATTCTTGCCCTTTTATAGTACTTATTTAAAGTTCTGTTAATAGAAAAAATATCATCTCTATGAAGGATTTCCTGATTAACTTCACGTAACTTTAATAATCCCAAATTCCACATTACTTACTTAACCAGATCCCACCACTGGTCTTATACTCCCCATGTGATTCCTCCATGTGTTTTATCAATTTTTTCACGTTGTTGGTCCTGATCAATACATGACGGTGAACTGTGTTCTTACTTTTCCTTCACACTACTCCAAATATAAACCCTGCTGATGTCAAATCTTTCATTTTGGAATATAAAGATGGGTAAAAAGGAGTCAACTTGTACCATGGAGGACAGTGTAATATATACTGTATATTTTTCTACTATGAAATAAAATTACATGAAAAATTAGGCAAACATATGCTTTCTGAGGATTTAACTTGATGTATGAGAAAATCCATCACGCAAATGCATACATACTCTTTTAAATCAACAGTGCTCTTCCAATTTAAACTTGGCTCTAATCTCTTGCCAATTGGGTTCCTCACAAAATTAATTGGGTTCATCTGCAGTGTACTCTTTTCTGCGTCAGCTTTAGTGGTTACTTCTTCCTTCTTGGGTGCCTCATCAGGCTGAAACGTTTCTTTCTGCTGTTCTTCATTGAATGTATTCCCCTTTATTAAAAAAAAAATTAAGAATAATTTTTACAATGATATTATCACTTCTGAATTATCTTATTGTATCCAAAAATTAATGCTGATGATACACTGGGAAAAGAAGTCTCACATGTGTGTGTAACTTGTGCTGCTTTGTGACACCAAAGTTGAATAATGGCAACTTCAGGGCCGAGGCCTGCCTCTATTTGAACTAACACTAATGTGGCAAACAGTAACGTGATGTTCCAAAATTCATACCTCTGCTGCAGCAGACACAGATACAATAGCAGGGCTGAACTACTCATACCTCACAACACTAGAAAAAACTTAAAAATCAAACTCTATATTGACCAGGATACATCATGTTCAAATTGCTGAAAATGAAGGATAAGGAGAAAATGCTGAAGACAGACAGAGATAAAAGACATACAGAGAAAGAAACAAAAGCATTAAAAGGAACTTCTTGTCAGAAATGATGCAAGCCAGAAGAAAAAGGAGTAATATCTTCAAAGTACTGAAAGAAAGAAAAAAAAACTGTTAACCCAAACTTCTATACCCAGACCAAGAAAACCTAAAAAATTTAAAATGAAGACAAAATAAAGACTTTCACAAATGAACAAAAGCTGAGAGAATTCACTGCCAGAAGACTGTGCTATAAGATATGTTAAAGGAAGTTCTGCAGCCAGAAGGAATATCATATTAGACAGAAACATGGATCTACACAAGGGAATTAAAAACTGCAAAAATGGTAAAAATGAAAATAAACATAAAATACTTTTTGTATTATTTTTAATCATTCTAACATATAACTGACTACCTAAAGCAAAAATGGTAACATTTTGAGGGGTTTATAACACATAAAAGTAAAATGTATGTCAATAATAGCACAAAGGATAGAGTAGACACACTGCAAGTATATTTTCATAAGATTCTTAAACAATTTGTGAAATGGTATAATATTAATTAAAGGAAGACATGATACCACTAAGCCAGCAGGGTTTTCATGATAAATTAGAAATATATAAGTCTTAGAGCAACCACTAAAAACTTCTGAAAAGAAGTATAACTGATAAACTAATAGCATAAATAAAATGGAATCATTCTTAAAAGCTCAATTAACGCAAGAAGGGCAGAAAAGGAAGGGAAAAGAACAAAGAACAGAGGGAAACAACAAACAGAAAACAACCAGGAATGTGGTAAATTTAAACCCAATTATATCAGTAGTTACATTAAATGGAAATGCTTTAACACTCTTAATTAAAAAAGAAATTGTCAGACTGGATGAAAAAGGGAGACCCAACTATCTGTGGTCTAAAATAAACCACTTTATATATATAAAGATATAAATTCATTAGGAGTAAAAGACTAGAGATAAATATTCCATGTAAACGATAATCAAAAGAAAATAGTAGTGGCTACATTAAAATAAGCAGGACCCCTGGTGGTGCAGTGGTTAAGAGCTCAGGCTGCTAACCAAAAGGTCAACAGTTCAAATCCACAAGCTGCTCCCTGGAAACCCTATGAGGCAGTTATACTCTGTCCTACAGGGTCACGATGAGTCAGAATCAACTCGACGGCAACAGGTATATTAAAATCAGACAAACTAAACTTCAAAACAAGGAATATTATCAGGGATAAACAGGGGCATACAAAATGACAAAGAGTCAATATATAATCTTAAATGCATATGCAACCAACAACAGAACTTCAAAATACATGAAGCAAAAACAAATAGAACTGCAAGGAAAAGTAGATAAATCTACAAAACTGCTCACTCAATAATTAATAAAATAAGCAGGCAAAAAATCAATAATTATATAGAAGACCTGAGCAGCATCATCAATCAACTTGCATTAAGTGACATTTACAGAACAATTCACCCAACAACAGCAGAATATATATTCTTCTCAAATGCACAAGGAATAGTCACCAAAATAGATCATATTCTGGGCCATAAAACAAAGTTCAACAAATTTAAAAGAACTAAAATCATACAAAATATATTTTATCAACACAATGGAATTAAACTAGAAAATCAGTAACAGAAAGAGATCTGGAAAATTCCCAAATATACTGAATGAATGAAAACACAACATATCAAAATCTATGAGACTCAGTTTATGCAGTGCTTAGAGGGAAATGTGCCACATTAAATCTTACAGTAGAAAACAATAAAGGTCTCAAATCAATTATCTAAGCTTCCAACTTAAAGTATTAAATAAGAGAAGCAAAGTAAATCCAAAGGAAATCACAAAGAGCAGAAATAAAATAAAATAGAAAGCAGACAAACAATAGAGAAAATCAATGCATCAATAGCTGCTGCTTTGAAAAGAATAATAAAATTGATATATCTCTAGCTAGACTGCTCAGAAAAAAAAAAGAAAGAAGACATAAATAACCAATATTAGTAATTAAAGAAAGGTCATCACAACAGATCCTACAGACAGTAAATGATAATAATGGAATGTTTTACTTTATATCAGTAAGTTAGATAAGGTAGAAGAAATGTGTAACTTCTTTGAAAAACACAAACTTCCAAAGCTCACACAAGAAGAAAGAAAAATTTGAATAGTTCTATATAAATTAAATGAAATTAAATTCTCAATTTAAAAACCTTCCAACAAAGAAAGTTCCATGTGCAGATGGCTTCACTGGCAAATTCTACCAAACATTTAAGAAAGAAATAATACCAATCCTACACAAATAATTCCAGAAAGAAGAAAAGGAGTGAACACTTCCCAACTGATTTTAAGGACACCTTACCCAGATACCAAAACCAGACAAAGACATTATAACCACTAACCAATATCCTTCATGAACACAGATGCAAAAATCCTCAGCAAGATGTTATCCAATTGCATCCAGCAAAGTATAAACAGGATAAGACATCACAACCAAGTGGAGTTTATCCCAAAATACACCATTAGTTCAATATTTGAAAATCAATATAATCACCATATCAACAAAATAAAGAAGAAAAACGATATGATCATCTCAAAAGATTCAGTAAAATCACCACCTCCCAGCAGTAATGAGCCCCCTTCCCATGATTTAACTGGAGGCCACATGGGAAGCAGTAACAAGGTCCTTCCCCTCTCCCAACCACAGTAGCGTCAGCAGAGGCCTAGTGGGAAGACTAAACTTCTAGCCCTGCCCAGAAGTAATTAGGCACCCTGCCCCACTAGGGTTGTCAATGGAGACTGGGTGGGAAATTTGGACTTTCACTCCCACCTGGCAGTAACAAAGCAGAACCCCCATGCTCCACTAGTGAATTGTCAAGAGGTCTGCTAAAACAAAAGATTTAAATAAAATCCAGACTTCCACAACATAATGCTAAAAATGTCCAAGACACAATCAAAAATCACATATCATACCAAGAACCAGGAAGATCACAACTTAAATGAGAAAAATATGATGAAGAGATGCTTATACCAAGATGAAACAGATGATAATACACTCTGACAAGATCTTAAAGCAGCCATCATAAAAATTCTCCAATGAGCAATTATGAACACTTGAAACAAATGAAAAAATAGAAAGTATCAGCAAAGAAACAGAAGACATAAACAAGAAACAAACAAATTTTGGAACTGAAATTTACACACCAAAATAAAAACTCACCAAATAGACTCAACAGTGGGATGGAGAGGGTAGAGAAAAGAATTTATGGACTTGAAAATAGAACAATATAAATTACTCAAACTGACAAAGAAAGAGAAAATAGACTGAAAAAAAATGAACAGAGCATCAGGATATATAGGACCATCACAAAAGATCTAACATTTCATCAGAGTACAAGAAGGAGAGGAGAAAGGAATGGGACTGAAAAAGTATTCTAAGAAATAATGGCTGAAATTTTCCCAAATTTGGCCAAAGACATACAGCTAAGATTCAAGGAGCTGAGCAAACTCCAAATAGGACAGACCCAAAGAAATCCGTTACAAGACACAACATAATCCAACTTCAGAAAACTAACGACAAGGAAAACAAAATTTTTTTTAGGCTTTAAAAAACAGAAATTTATTTTCTCACAGTTTAGGAGGCTAGAAGTCTGAATTCAGGATGCCAGCTCTAGGGGAAGGCTGTCTCTCCATCTGCTCTGCGGGAAAGGCCCTTGTATCTTTCCAGCTTCTGTCCCTTGGTTCCTTGGTGATCTTCATGTGGCCTGGCATCTGTTTTGCCCCATCTCTGTTTGCTTCTCTATTCCGAATCTACTCATTTTATATCTTGAAGGTGACTGGTTTAAGAGATACCCTACACTGATATGGCCTCATTAACAAACCCTATTCCCAAACGGGATTACATCCACAAGAATAGGGATTAGAGTTTATAACACATTTTTTTTTGGAAGAAAATCCAATCCGTAACATTCCACCACCTGACCCCCCCAAAATTCATGTCCTTCCCATATGCAAAACACATTCATCCCATCACATCATCCCAAAAGTCTTAAATCAACTCCAAGTCCAAAATCTCATCTTCTGAACCATCTAAATCAAATACGGGTGAGACTCTAGGTGTATTCTATCCTGGGGCAAAATTTCTCTTCATCTGTGAACCTGCAGAATCTAGAATACAAGTTATCTGCTTCCAAAATACAATGGTGGAACAGGCACAAGGTAGACATTTCCATAACAAATGGGAGAAACTGGAGGGAAAGAAGGGATAGTGGGCACAAAGCAAGTCCAAAACCCAGCAGAACAAATTACATTATGTCTCAAGGCTTGAAAATAATCCTCTGTTCCTGATAAGGAAAATTTTCGAAAGCAGAAAAGACAAGCAATACTTTCCCTGTAAGAAAATCACAATTAAAATAACAGTGATTTCTCATCAGGAACCATGAAGGCCAGAAGGAAGTGGCACAACATATTTCAAGTGCTAAAGGTAAAGAACTGTCAAGCCGGTATACTATATCCAGTAAAAATATCCATCAGGTATGAAACGGAAATTGAGACATTCTCAGATGAAGGAAAACTAACAGAATTTTTCACCAATGTATCTATGCTAAAAGAATGGCT